TGTCTGAGCCTGTGCAAATGTGTGTCGGTGTGTGAGTTAGTGTTGCCTGTTCTTCGTGTGTGTGTGTGTGTGTGTGTGTGTGTGTGTGTGTGTGTGTGTGTGTGTGTGTGTGTGTGTGTGTGTGTGTGTGTGTGTGTGTGTGTGTGTGTGTGTGTGTGTGTGTGTGTGTGTGTGTGTGTGTGTGTGTGTGTGTGTGTGTGTGTGTGTGTGTGTGTGTGTGTGTGTGTGTGTGTGTGTGTGTGTGTGTGTGTGTGTTGCATGTGTAAGACAGGATGCATGACAGCGATGTAGCAATGGTTAGACTTGAGGGAGGGTTGGGGGGTGCTGCTGGCAGCTCAAGAAAATAAGGAGGAGGAGTGGGGGGGGGGCGTTCTGTCAGCTCTCTAATTATGTGTGACGTTTCCATGCTGGACCACTGTCAAAAACCCACAATATCCACACACAAACACACACACACATGCATACAAGCAAACACACACCCCAGCCTAATGATACAGAATTGTGATTGCCGGCTGCCTGCTATGATAGAACCCCTCCATAGTCCTCCGCAACATAAATCAATGTCAATTACCTCCCCAGAGCACATTAGACACTTTCCATTCCTACTCGTAATTAGTATGGCCCATAGACATATTCCCATCCCACACCAAGCTCACAGTAAAGCGTCTGCACACAAACAACAAAGAAAGGCAATGAAATGAATTCGGCGCCCTCGTTCAAATGTATACCAGCACATTAAATCGCATACATTGTGTCGCAAGTAATTGACCATCTCGCCCCCGTCCTTGCGCTCACACACACATTGGGGGTGTCGCAATTAATTACCGCTGGCCTTGCCATCACAGAGTGCCGGTGAAAATTAGTTGAAGGGAAGACGCATGCTGGTTGACCTTGGGGTGTGTGTGTGTGTGTGTGTGTGTGTGTGTGTGTGTGTGTGTGTGTGTGTGTGTGTGTGTGTGTGTGTGTGTGTGTGTGTGTGTGTGTGTGTGTGTGTGTGTGTGTGTGTGTGTGTGTGTGTGTGTGTGTGTGTGTGTCTATGTGTGTGTGTCTATGTGCGTGTGTGTGTGTCTATGTGCGTGTGTGTGTGTGTCTATGTGCGTGTGTGCGTGCATGTTTGGGCGTGAACACATGAATGCCTAGCCTCTATTGTATGTATCTAGCCTCTATCCCTCTTTTTTCCTATGTTTTCCTTGGTGGCATGCAGCGTACCTGACAGGTAAAACAGGGGAGGGAGGGAGGAGGAGAGAAAAGAGGAGAGTCAAGCAGGGTACCATTCCAACAATCTGGCATGAGATGAGGAGAGAGAGAGAGAGAGAGAGAGAGAGAGAGAGAGAGAGAGAGAGTAGAGGAGAGACAGAGTCAGATATCGACGAGCAGAGATAGATCCGAGAGAGCGCGAGAGCTGAGAGAGAACTAAGCGACTTGAGAGAGAGATGTAGAAGAGACTCGATGCGAGCATCTAGACGAGAGAGCGCTTGATGGAGAGCCCCCTCCGCTCTCTAGTGACGGCATAGCTCGAGAGCCTCCTCTCGGAGCTCGCCGCGTAGAGAGGAGAGAGAGAGAGGGAGAGAGGGAGAGGAGGGAGGGCTGAGACTGGCTGAATAATTGATAGAGAGTGCAGCGGTGCTCCCAAACCAAATCGTTATGCTCTGAGCACATCACTATTTTTAAGAAGGGAACACTCTTGTACACACAAGCTGTTATGAAACAGCAGTTTTAAAAACATCAAAAGGAAGACCACACAGCAAAGTGCAGCTATGCCTTATTCTAAATAGTTTCTGGTCATACAAGCTGATACAAAGAGACAGTGAGCTACTAGAGAACAGAGCACATTTGAAAAAAACACTACGGTTTTTTACTTTACTTCTGAGAACTCCTCATGTGATCACATTTCTCTAACTTGAGGCAGTCTTGTGTCACAAATGTGGTGACGTTAGACTCCACTTGACAAAGAAAAGACTTGACTTTGACTTTTAGACTGATGCCTTGTGATTAACTTCAAATCCAATCAAGTTTTATTTATATAGCACATTTATAAACGATTTTTGGTCCAGCCAAAGTGCTGTACATAAAATAAAAATAGCCTACAGTAGAGACAGTTTACAGCTAATACAACAGCACAGATTGTTCAGAATATCAGTATGAGAAAAACGACACCCTCTATCCTTAGACCCTCACATCGTACAAGGAAAAACTTCCAGAGAAAAACCACAGTTTAAGGGAAAAAATGGGAGAAACCTCAGGGAGAGCAACAGAGGAGGGATCCCTCTCCCAGGACGGACAGACGTGCAATAGATGCCGCGTGTAAATCGAAGAGATAATACATTTTACAGCATATAGACCGAATGTTAGGAAATGCATGTGTCTGTAATAAGAAGATGAATCCACGAGGATGTCAGCTACAATCCTGTGGAAGCCATCAGGGAAGCAGCATGAGGAGACCCAAGGCAGGACCGCAGAGACAGGTTCAGCCACGACCCGAAGTCCACGACTTAATCCAGAACTCAGGATAGAGGATCCAAGACACAGGACTACAGCAAGAGGATCAGCCTCGACTCCGGATCCCGGCGTAGATATAGATACAAAAGAAGAAAAAAAAAAAAAAAGATTTGGCTGGCTTAATCGGAACAAGAGAATACACAATTTATTCTTGATAACCCTCTAGAAAGATCTCATGAACTTCCCCACTCAATCTATCAAGACCCGAGCAGTTCTATTAGAAGTCCAAGGTAAAGGCACAGGCCGGCGCATACCGCTCATGGAATCCCTCTCCATATGAACTCTGACCCCTCAAGTGTACAAGTGAAGAGACACCATGTGTCAGCTCCTTTTAGAATAGTATTTCTTCTCTTCTCAGAGAAACAAGGGTATGAAAAGAACAGCCAGAAACAGAGGAAGAGAGAAAACAACGTAACTACGTAAATGCACTCTCCTAAATATTAAACGAGTAAGAGGTGAAGAAACACAAAGCCAGAAATTGAAATGAAAAGGCACCATCATGCTTCCCCTTAGAATAGGGTGGAAATTATGAAGACCCAAATTATGAAGAGGGGACATGGGAAACTAGTGAAGAGGGACAACAGTGAAAAGACCCAACGTATCCAACGTACTAGCACTCATAGCAACTTGGACTTTAGCCTTTTAAATTGTAATGACTTGACAAAGCCCAAAGATAGAAAATAGCACAAAACACTTTATTTTCCTTACATCTGTTTTTTTAATTTTGTTTATTGGATTTTCAACCTAACCAGTATTTCAGACAATCATTTTAACCAATAAAGTCACAGAGGAAAAGAAAGAAAAACATTTTCTGTGAAAGAAAGGAGTTGTAAAATGTTTGCATACAGGACTTTGCAGCCTAAATTATGCATTTTGAAGTCATTAAAGAAATTGGCAAAGTCTAACGTCAGTGTTTAGCCATCTATAATTGATGGCTAGCAACATAGCCTTACGACTTAATTTACAGTATTTTTTGTGTGCTCACTTTTGGTTTTGCCTCCATTAAAAATGAATCAATCAATCAAAGTGTATTCATATAGCCCAATATCACACATTTTACATTTGTCTCAGTGGACTTTACAGTTTTAACAGAATATGAATATGACACCCTCTGTCCTTGGACCCTCACATCGGACAAGGAGAAACTCCCATAGAAACCCCCCAGTTAATTGGGAAATATGGAAGAACCCTCAGCGAGAGCAACAGAGGAGGGATCCCTCTCCCGGGACAGACAGATGTGCATTAGATGTTGTGTGTAAATCAAAAAGATAATACATTTACAACATACGTAGTCCAAATGCTTGAAAATGCATGTAAATAAGAAGACGATGAATCCAGATGCATGTCAACAATCCTTTAGGAGCCATCAAAGAAGTAGATTATTACTGTAAGATTATCTAGCTAAATGTTTGGCGTGTCCCAACATCTCAGCAATTACTTTGTTGGAAAATCTTATCATATCCAGGAAATTACGGATAAAACTACGTCAATTAGACCCAAGATAAGATGAATGGTGTTTTACCATCAGAACATGCCTGTAACATCAAGACTGCCCTGAAACAGCCTTTCAAGAAGTGAAGAACAAACATCCTCTCTTTTCAGACATTTCTCCCAGCACATAAATTCCACCAAGACAAAAACTCCCTCTCCTCAGTCATGTTTGAGCCAGAATGCCTCTGATCTGTCACACTCACCTGAGGGCTTCTTCTGTTCTACCACCTGGAGTCTGTGAAGGAGCACCTCCTCACTCCCTGTGTGCGCTACAAGTTTATTTCTGAGAATTTTGCCCTTGAAAAGTTTTCTCAGGTTGAGTCTTTTTAATTATTTATCATGGCACATCGTCCCCTTCAAAGTCAGATCAGAAAATAAGTCTTAAGAGGCAGATATGAGAATAGGAAAGGAGACGCTGAGGAACAGTAAGAAGGATAGGAGTGCAAGTAGGCTGAGAAAAAACGATAGCATTGTGAAATGGAAAGGGAGGGTGGGTAAGAAAGGAGACACGTCGGGTGAGCAGGTGCAGAGATATCAGAGGATAATGGGTAATACGAGCAACGGGATGATGGTTCAAATCCTCCCTCAGAGCTCTGACCTTCCTAAGGCAATGAGGGCAGGAGAGGAGCACGGCAAAGATGCTCTCAAGCCATTTCCAGCAGAAATGAGGCAAGTGGGGTGAATGGAAGCGATATGAGGGTAGTGGAGAAGGGGAAAAAGCAGCTGGAGGTTAAAAAAAGACTTTGGACTGGAACGGGATGAATTGGAGACATAATCAGTTGAAGGATGTTCCAACCTACATGGCAGGAAGGGTTCATCAGAAAGAGAAATTGGAAGGATGCTTTCCCATATGTGACCCTGTAATCTCGACTCTGATTCAGTAGTTGGCCGGTGTGTCTGAACCCTGTTTACCTCGCTATAGAAGTGTTTTTTTACTGCTTATATCTGCACTAAAATTGAAAAAATAACCTGTGGATTGACCATTTTCTTCTATGTGTTCTCCTCTCCAGGCACTTCTTGTTCAAGACGTCGTCAGGGACCACGCCCCTCTTCAGTAGCTCCTCCCCTGGTTACCCTCTGACCTCGGGAACCGTGTATTCTCCGCCCCCTCGCCTGCTACCCAGAAACACCTTCTCTCGCTCAGCCTTCAAGCTAAAGAAGCCGTCCAAGTACTGCAGCTGGAAATGTGCCGCGGTGTCAGCCATCGCAGCTGCTGCCTTGCTGGCCATCCTACTGTCTTACTTCATCGGTAAGTGATGAGATATTACGTATTATAATTATAGAGGGTCTTACGTTTCGCACATGCTTAGTCACACATCTCTTTATAACAGCCAGAGATGGCAAAAGTACACACATCCTTTACTCAAATAGAACTACAGATCCTCGTGTTTAAAGATACTCTGTTAAAAGTAGAAGTACTGACTAAACTAAGAAGTATGGGCTTCGAAATGTACTTAAGTAAAAAGTACCCATAACTACCAGCTGTTTTAAAGAGTACCTGACCTCCCTTTATATTAATAGAACAATAATGTCATTGTGTTTCCATGCTGAACAACGGCAACATGACAACGTTTTCATTGGTCCCTCTTCTTTAGAGAAGACCAGGAAATGATGGATACACGGATCGTTTTAAAATCGATAGGCACGCAATGATTCTAAATAATAATGATCACGCCACCAAATGCGGTTTGAAAATGTAAGAAGTAGAAAGTACAGGTATTTGTGTTCAAAATGTAAGAAGTAACAGTAAAAAGTGGTCAGAAAAATAAGTAGTGGAGTAAATGACTGATATCAGAAAAATGTACTTAGGTACAGTAACAAAGTATTTGTACTCCACTACTTCCCACCTCTGGTCACACATCTCTTTATAACAGCCCTGTTTTGTTTCGCCCTGATGAACTCTGCTTTTATTGGTATTCATCGCGACAAAAGTGTCAAGCTAAACACAAAGCAGATTTTTCCAGATGTGAGCTTTGTCACTGCAGCTCCGTGCTACACTGTCAAAATCAGACTCGGCAGGAAACCCTGGCCTCCAACCGGCAACAGTCAACAGTATATATACAGACAGGAATATGCGAACGCCGCGTGGCACACTGGGGCTGTTTCCGTGAGCAGGTATCAGTAAAGATAGGAATCCCTAACAGACCCAGCAGGGAAGTGGATGTTTTCTCACTGATCTGAAGCCAATGCGCGATAGTCATACTTAAAGGAATGGCAGATACTCACTTACCGAGCACCTCGGGAGGAGAATCTGACGCCTGTCTACTGGTGGATCTGTCAGGAATAAAGCAAGGCGGAGATAGTGTGTGGGAGTGTGTGTGTAGGTGAGTGTGTTTCCTCCCCTTTTAACCTTATTAACCGGACACGAGAATGCAGACATCTATGTGTGAGATAGACAAAAGAAAGAGGAGGATAGTGTGTGTGTGTGTGTGTGTGTGTGTGTGTGTGTGTGTGTGTGTGTGTGTGTGTGTGTGTGTGTGTGTGTGTGTGTGTGTGTGTGTGTGTGGTGTGTGTGTGTGTGTGTGTGTGTGTGTGTGTGTGTGTGTGTGGTGTGTGTGTGTGTGTGTGTGTGTGTGTGTGTGTGTGTGTGTGTGTGTGTGTGTGTGTGTGTGTGTGTGTGTGTGTGTGTGTGTGTGTGTGTGTGTGGTGTGTGTGTGTGTGTGTGTGTGTGTGTGTGTGTGTGTGTGTGTGTGTGTGTGTGTGTGTGTGTGTGTGTGTGTGTGTGTGTGTGTGTGTGTGTGTGTGTGTGTGTGTGTGTGTGTGTGTGTGTGTGTGTGTGTGTGTGTGTGTGTGTGTGTGTGTGTGTGTGTGTGTGTGTGTGTGTGTGTGTGTGTGCATGAGGAGGCAGATGTGTCGCTGAGCCCTTGATTGGCCTCTCACCCCAGAGACCAGAGTCAACAGATGGGGGATCTTAGGAAACAGTGGCATCAGCAGAAAAAACAACAACCCCCCCACCCTCCATCACTTCTGCATACATTATTAATATCACTTTCAATTATTTAGAAATATATATATTTATATACACATCACCATCCATCTACCCATCCATTCTGACTGTGAAAATGTAGGCTTTGCTGGTCCTGGATGTGTCTCAAAATTGCACTAAAGTCTTGTGTGTGTGTGTGTGTGTGTGTGTGTGTGTGTGTGTGTGTGTGTGTGTGTGTGTGTGTGTGTGTGTGTGTGTGTGTGTGTGTGTGTGTGTGTGTGTGTGTGTGTGTGTGTGTGTGTGTGTGTGTGTGTGTGTGTGTGTGTGTGTGTGTGTGTGTGTGTGTGTGTGTGTGTGTGTGTGTGTGTGTGTGTGTGTGTGCTGTGTGTGTGTGTGTGTGTGTGTGTGTGTGTGTGTGGTGTGTGTGTGTGTGTGTGTGTGTGTGGGGGCATTGCGTACCCCCTCTGTGCCCTTGAGAGCCGTGTGTGTGTCCTCCAGAGCAGATCAAGGCCCCTCGCCTGGGGCCCACAGACAGACCCATCCTCTCCTGAGCTTTACGCGGTCACACTGCGCTGGACAGCCACACATATGGAACTAGGGAGCAGAAGGGGGGGGGAAGAAAGACCTCCTTGAGGGCAGGGATGTGGCGGAGCATACAACCTCCATCTTGTTTTATTAGGGCTCACTAGGGGCCGCAATGACACAAATATTTGTTTTCATCTGAGAACATGTAATCGTAAGTTGATAAGGAACTAATGAGGATAATCATTAGAAAAAATCTGTCTTTTTCAGAGAACATAATTGCTTGCCTTATTCACTTTTGTTCCTTCTACAACATTGTTAGGGCACCATCTGTGTACTTGCCAGATACATACAACGTGTTAACAGTATTGCAATGTCTTAATAATTGTTGCATGAGCTTGTTATAATTTCAAAGTAAAGAGTCAATTCCCAGTGTCTGCCCTTTTCAATATACTGTAAGGTAGGTTCATCCAAACAAATAAACAAAATGTATTAAATATATAACACATTTCCATAAGGATATGCAGCCCCAAGGAGAAACCATGCCTGTTAAACCTATTGTTTGTGAGCAAAACATTTTGAAATCTGATGACCAAGGACCAAAAAATTACCAATATTTTTGGAAGATATATCAAGAGCATAACTTTGCAAAATACTAATTATTTAACACTGCAAAAAATGTAACTACAGCAAAGCTACTTTAGAGTGAATCCTTTGGTTTACTGAAGCACCGTTTTAGAAAAGTATAGCTTGAACATTTGTCAAAACAATTACCTATTTTTTGCTTTTTGTATTCCCAAATGGTTTCATTGTTTAACTAATCGCCCAAAAACTAAAATTGCTATACAAATGAACTACATGAGGCTACTGAAAAAATGAACTTATTCAAACGTTTTTGCACCACTCCAACATTCGATTTTACTGTGGGCATGTGTAGCTTTAAAAGACTTGCTCTCTAAATATGAATAGAGCAGATTGTTTTTTGAATGGAGTTCAGTAAGTGAGGAGCAAGAGTTGCTATTCAGTTTCCCTCTAAGCTCCACTCTCTGTGTATTTACTGTTTTATTATATGCCAGACATCAGTGCTTTACCACCTAACTTAATTGTGCAAGTGGCTATAATTCGGTTAGATGAGCACCGCAAATGATACTTTATTGTTATTACGTTTTTACTTTTGCTAACTGTGTGGCCCCCTTTTTCAGCTGCTGTAAGGAAATGTTTTGCTCTGGTTGTGTCTGTGCTGAACAGAGCTGTAGCAGTGCTGCCAAGCCTGAAACCCTAGTGTTTACCTAGCTCTTTGTAGCGTTAATCGTGCAGCGAGTTTCGGTCGGAAGAGTTCACTGCTCATAAGGGGGATTTTGTACTACATTGTTTGTGTGTGAGTGTGTGTGTGTGAGAGAACCCGGCAATCACTGGGGGGATTGCGCAGAGCACCCAGAGCCATGCAGCGTGAAGAGGACCCCTCCGAGAAGTCCGCCCAGGAGCCCGCTCATAAATTACACCAGGACACATGTGCCTGAGCAGCATTTTTTTTCTTTGTGCGCGTGTGTGTACGAATACTCCTTCTCTCAGGGCTCCTACAGGATGTGTGTGTGACAATGTGTGCCTCTGATTGCAAAGCTGTGAGGGTGTGCTGGCCTTCAAACAAATTCCTTTTCTCTTTCTTCTCAATACCATAAATAAAGCTTTTCAACAATTGCTCGACATTCTACGGAAACACGTATGCATGCACACTGAGTTGCTTTTACAAAGGCTGGACTCAGCGTGCTTCAGAAACACGGTAGATAATATCTCTTTGAAACTTATTCAGATAACATATGCACAAAATGGAATAAACGTGTGCATTTGAGTACATAAATGTGAGTTAGAGAGAGTTTATGTGTCTGGAGGACAGAGAGTCACATTTTCAGTTAAAGCTCCCTATGCCAGCGGAGGCGTCTTTACGTGTGAAGGAATGACTGAAACGGATGGAGGGAGGAGGATAAACGAGAGTGCTTGTTCTTCATTCCCCCGGCGTCTTGTTTGCTTGCTCCGCATGGAGCACCGAAGCCAAAGGAGAGGTGGTTGCTAGGATACAGGTGAACAGTTGGCATACAGGAGGGAAGAGGTCCGACATTGTGAACGGAAACCTGGAGAGAGCGAGATAGAGGAAGGCGAAAAAAAAGAAAGGAGTGGAATCGAGTTGGAGCCGAGAGGGCAGAGGGGAAGGAGGGAGATGCGTCACTGTCAGCATGAAGCCACGACAAAGTGGAGAGGAAGAGGAGGATAGATGACTTGAGAGACGGAGGAGACCTGGTATGTCACTGTTGGCGCCGAAGGGGATTAGAGAAGGGGAGTATAAGGGAGGGGGGAAATAGAGAAGGGAGGTCTGGAGTTTTCACTGCAGGGAGAAAAAGACGGGGAAGGTGGAGCAGGAGTGACAAGGAGGAGAAAGTGAGAGGAGGCAGAAGGATAGGATGAAGGAGAGCGCGGCCTCCCGAGGTTCTGTCACCTGGAATAACCGTGGGACTAATGTCTCCTAATTGATCACAGCGAGCGGAGAGCAGAGGGAGGCTGACAGAGAGAGGACAGGGAGAGGACAGGGGGAGGTCTGCAGGAGGAACGGAGGAAAAGAGAAGAGTCGGAGGACAGATGTACAGAAAGAGAAAAAAATGTACAGAAAAAGAGATACAGCGCGGTATGCAAGGGGAGGAACAAGGCTGGTGGTTTGATGCATAGATGAAGGATCGAGGACATGTCAGAGTCCAGGTGGACTGTATTCACACACACACACACACACACAGGTGTGTCCTTGAATGCAA